CAAGAGTATATATATTTAGTATTCAAGGTACATTCATCAGCCAGTTCAGCCAGTGTCTTACCATGGTGTAATCATTTGATCAACGCCGATATCCCCCTCATATAGTAAATAAGGTCTTTGATCGGACCTTTGGTTCGAATACTTGCGTATCTGCTGGCGTGCGATTGTTTACATTCTCGGAATTTAAAACGTGGCAATGATTTTTGCTACACAAAACCCCCCGATACATACTCTCTTCCCAGGCGCTGCTAGTGGGTCGGTTTAGCTATTTGGTAAGTTTTAGTTTCTGGAGAACATTCTATCAAACTGCTAAATGTAAGAAACAGTACGTTTAATTTCGTTGTTCTAGGCCTTAATTACAATTGGTATACGGGATTATTGCCTGTGTTTCTAGTTAATATGCACACCGTTTGTTTTAACGTTAAGAATGGTCGATCAGGAAAATTGTGTTTTCGTTTCACTCGCACTAGTCACAATTTGTAAGCTTTCCCTCTAACCAAAAAAGCACAAATTGTTACATAACCTAAATAAATAAACCTAACCTTGAGTTTAAAATCTCATAATTAATACATGTTCCCCCGTGGACAGAGAGAGGGTTCGTATGTATGCTGTGCTGTTCCTTTTGCAGTGCAGTGAAACCCGTTCGAACTGGTTATCCTTTGACCCCTTCCCCTCTTACAATATATTTTTTTTTCATTGCAACATTACGTCACGTTCCTCATTTGATTACTTAATATAAATAGTATGGAAACTTGTTAATCTCGAGTGGTTAGATTCGAGTGGTGCAAATTGTACAGGGTTTTTACTTTTATAATCATATGGTAATATGTGAAACGTGACAATGGGGCATGTGAGTTACCATAGTAACGAAACGGTCCCCATCGATTTCTCAATCTCAAACGTCCCCATGTTCTCCTTGTTTATCAACAGAGCAATCATGCCCTCCTCCACTCCCCATTCCTCCACCCACCCCTTTATACGGACCAAACACGTTGATCAAAAACCCTCTTTCAAAAACTCTATTGCCATATCCTTATTTATTATAAATGGGGGATGCGGCACATCAGCATCCGATTCGTTGTTCTTCAAAGTCTTACGCCCACTGGCAAAAAACGAACTAACTATGCAAGGAAAACGGAAAAAAGTTCAACGATCCGAAACGTAATCTTGTACGTCATTATCAACTCGACATGATTATCCCCTCTCTGCTCAGTCCTCCACACCTTTTTCCCCATCCAACACTCCTGCAACGCCGCTAGAATGCAACACTATGAATAGGGTTAGGAATGGCAGGATTCTCATACACAAGTATGGAAGCCAAGGCATGGTTGTTTGCATCATTCCAACTCGAGATACGCTGTGGTAAGGTTGAGTTTTATCTTGGTCCCACGGTAAAGTCATTTGCAAAGAGCGTTCAGAGAGGACTATTTATAAAATTTCCGCATAACCGGTTTCAATTATGTAAATAGAGGAGGGAGCAACAATACGTTCGATATATCACATGAAACACACAACTCTACACTCGTATTCTTGGTGTGAACAGACAGATAGACTTTATTACTAACGTTGAGAAGTAATACTTTTTTTTGAAATCAATACTATTATTCTCGATTTCGTTTAGTTTTTTTTAGGAAGAGAAAAATATACAAAAGATGCGAAAGGGTTTATATGCGGTAAAAAGAAAAAAGGAAAAAAGAAAAAAGTATTTTATATTACAAAAGGGTGAGTTTAACATCAATAAGAATTGGTAAGAACAATGTTCATGATTTAGCCAGTAGATCAAAAAGGGAAGATTATAATGGAATATCCAAACTCGGAAGCAAAACCATTCATCAGCAAGATAACTCAAGAAAAAGAAACCAATCGTGGAATCTTCAAAAGTTAACAACCTCAGAATATACCGGTCTCCTTCCTCGAAACCAAAGAGTTTCAAATCAACCCGTAACTGATTCAGCAGCACTGTTCTCTTTGACGAAACAAGTGCATACCATAACTTCAAGGAGAATGACAAAAAAAGCAGGAACCGCAAGGGATAGATGACTAGCTGATGAAGGATTCTTACAACGACAAAAAAAAAAAGAATAAGGGGGGAGGCGTGTCATATATACACATCAACATATTGACATGATAATAACACCCATGATGTTTTTTGTTTTTTTTTCTTTTTTGATATTAAGGGAATATATGGATGAAATTCATTGTGACGTTTTTTTGTGGTTTTATACAACAATTATTCTCTTTACTTTCGATCACCGTTCCTGCAATACGGATTCTCTCATGAAGATTACGGTTTTCGGAATTCAGTGAGTACGGGGAATATGGATTCGAAAGCCTCATAAATCTCTTGACGCACCTATAGAATGCAATGATGGTAAGTCATTTCCATAATCGAAATTGTATGATATAATAAAAAGCCGCCATCTTATTAAATGTCTTGTAACAGCCCCAACAGTAAACATTCGCACATACATACCTTCGCGCCCGTAAGCACAATCTTTCCAGAAACGAAAATCAGTAATACGATCTTCGGCTTGACCATTCTGTAAATTAGGCCAGGGAATAATTCCGGTTCATACTGTAATAGGAAACGGTAATAGGCAAGTCTTATTAGTGAGTTGTTGATGCGTTAGTCTGTGGCAAAATAATTCTATAATTTAGGCCATAAAAGTATCGCCGCTTTTAAATAATTTGACGATCTCACATGCTTGCATGCTTGTTATGGGTTAGCAATACTGCTACCATATATTTTATCCACGCCACACTTACGGCTTTCAAACGAATATCTGACTAATCTAATTCTACGACACCCGGGCCATCTCTTCCTTTCCACCCCTCCCTCTCTCTCTTTCTCTCTTTCTCTTCCTCAACACATTTCTCCATATACTCACACTGCTAAAGTGTCCATGAGAATAAGCCAACCCCTCCAATCGAATAGGAAACTTGACATCGCACGATCCAACAATGTTCTGAATCTTAAATTCTGTAAACTTCGCATTGAACCCCAATTTCTGAATAATCCTCGCGTACTTCCGACTTGCAAGTTTAGAGTCATCTTCCGATTTGGCCCCGGTGACGACCATCTTGCCAGAAGCGAAGATTAAAGCAGTTGTCTTTGGATCACGGATTCGCATAATCACTGCTGCGAAACGCTGTTATAAAGGTAAGTGTTTGACGAAGAGGAAAAGGAAAAAAGAAAGGGAACAAACGATCGCGGGAAACATGTATAAAAGATGATTAATAGGAAAAGGAAAAGATAGGTAGAGGATATGGTGAGAAACAGAGATACCAAAGATATGATGCACACAGTGATCGAGACCATAGGAATAAAAAGGAGGGGATAAAGATCGATGATAGAAATATCATACGATGATCGATGACTGATTTATTATGCTCCTCATATGCTACAGGCACAGAGAGAGTATGGAAGAAAAAAGGGGAGGGGGAAAAAGTACCTTTGGATTGTATTCTGCGTTTCGCGCGTGAAGGGCGATTGTTTTGAGGTCTAGTCGACAGTCGAGGTTGACTGTTGCAACAATGTTTCTATGATTTATTGTGCAGATCAGATGAAAAGGTGAGTGAAAGTTTGTATGAAACAAAAGTTTGTTGTATACAGGTGACAAATAAGAAGGGGAATGAATACATCAAGCGAACAATTTTCTTTTTCTAGGTGGGGGGGTGAAGAAGAAAGGGTATAAAATATTGTCTTGTCGATTTAATTTACAAGTGTCGAATCTATCTATCTATCGAAATATTTGTGTATCTACAAAAGTCTAGCATTTACCCCCTTTTTACAAAATTCCCCGATCATCGATCTCTACATATCTCTCTCACTCACTCTCGATATCTCTTTTTGTATATCTACAAGAAACTCCTCTCGTCATTCGATCACTTACTGCAAGATCGGCACTATTCCAGTCACGCTCTGGATAGGCGCTTGACCAGTCTGGTCAACAACATTGTTCACATTCTCGTCAACACTCATAACGCTATTCGGAAATGCCAACGTTCCACTTGCGCCCGGTGTTGATGGGACAGCGACTGGTTGTTGTACTTGAGGGTAGGTTATGGTCGAGTTTGTGGAGGAGGAGGCTGGGAGCAAGATCTGTTGATTCATGTTTCGCGTATTAATGTGAGTGTGAGTGTAATCAGGTAGGGTTCGTGTGTTCCTTGTTCGTTATGCAAGTTGGTTTTCTCGTATTGGAGGATGCTTTGTAATGCCGGGTCGTAATAGAAGGTGTAGTAGTATTTATGTAAGTCGTTAGGGCGGGGCTGTTGTGACGTGACTCGTTGCTCTATGATGATGACGTGTTATTGGATGAATTACTAAATGTACAGATATATGGATGATCACGTGGACAATGTAGATGGTAGTTGGAGATATTATTTGTAGAAATTAGATTGATAAAAGATTTATTAGTCTTTTTTTTTTCTTTCTTTCTTTTCTTTTTATTTTTTTTTCGTCAGACGGGATTTGTGATGACGAAGGCGTGGTAGTGAAGTCGGAATTGTGGGTGCGGGGGGGCAGGTGGTATTTATAGTGAAAAGGGGGGAATACGTAATCACATGAATGATTGGTCCACAGATAGTGATCCGAGATCATTATGGTATCTGGAATGGCTATTGGTCCAATACACAGCCATTCGGAGACACAACAAGGAAGTGCGGATGACAGACGGACTATAAGTACATGGGTATAAATATTTGGGAGATAATTATTTATGCACGTAATATATTGAGTGTATTGAATGTGTTTGTGTGTGTATATAAGTATATATGTGCACCTATACAATTATATATATGGGTTTGTGTTATTTATCCGTGTGACACAGTTGTTAGGACTGATTGTGTGCATTTGTTATGTTCAGAGCAATCTTTTCCATCAGCGTACAAAATGCGAGTAAATCAGGAATAAAATAACAAGTATAAATATGAGCACGTATCAATGTATTTATACTAGATCATTGTATTCTACATAATTACTAATTAAATTAGTAATTTTATTGTACAATCAATCTCCTTGTTCAACCTTTACCATATTTATATTGTGCGGTCTAATCTTGTTGTCACCTCCGTATTGCATTTGTGTTTATTGTATTTGCATGATAGACACATTCCGGATTTCATATTAAGGAGACTATTGTCATGTTGAAATCCATATTTAGCCCCTGGCAAACTTGAACGTTCAGCCTCCGCCAATAATCAATACCGAAAAATAAAGAACTCGTTACTAAGTGGGCGGGGACGATGTTGTCAATCAGTCGGTCCTTATTTTTTTTTTCATCCTCGGCAGTCGCCCCTTTATAATAACGCCTTTTACTGCGGATAACGAACCGTTGCACATGGTATTCATATTTGTTCAATTATCACGGATTAAAACGGAGTTATTTTTGAAATGTT